GTGTGCTCTTTTGATTTTTCGATAAATTATCCAAGCATCTTGATTTCCTTTGAATCACTTTCAAACCAAAAATTAAACTGGAAATAAAATAAATATAAATAATAAAATAAATCTTTTTAAATAAGTTTTCCCTACGACATCAAAAAATAAAAAAAAATAAAATTTATTTTATAATTTTATTATTTATATTTATGTTATTTCCGGTCTAGTTTTTGGGTGGAAAGTGATCCAAAGGGAATCAAGGTGCTTGGATAATTTATCAAAAAATTAAAAAAATAATAAAGTTTATTTTATTATTTATATTATTTGTTTTATTATTCATATTTATTTTATTTCCGGTCTATTTGTTGGGTGGAAAGTGATCCAAAGGGAGTCAAGATGCTTGGATAATTTTCTCTATGCTGTAACTATTGTACACTTTGTGAGGGTCCTTTGTAAGTGTTTTGAAAAGCTCTCGAAATAAACTACAAGAAAACGCAGTAAAAAATGGGGAGTTTCATTTAAAAAATTCAAGGTGACCTTGAATTTTTCTATTAAAAAAGATTTTTTTTCAATTTTTTTTATCGCATGCTGTAGCCTGCATGAAGCAGAAAAAATCTCCCTATCACAATTTTTTTTTGAACTGTCGAAAGTGTCTTAAAAATCGTGTGGACCGTTACGCTGAACACTCTGTATATATATATGTATAAATATGTATATTTACTCCAATTTGGAACAGAAAAATATGTGATTATTTGTGATAAGAAAGAAAGATTTTATACTAAAATAAAACAGTAAATAAAAAAAATACTTTTTTTAAAAAGCAAAAAAATAAAAATACATTAGACTAAAAAATTAAAATAGGTTAAACTAAAAAAAAACAACTGCTTCAATATCACTGAAAATATTAGAAAAATTAAGCGTAGCACATTCTTTAGACAGAAATAACATGAAAGGATAATATGGATCATGCTAATGTATAATTTTCATACATGCAAACTTACCTTTTTATATTTTATTAAAGACAAATTTCATCATAATTAATATTTATATTATTTTTAAAAAAGTGTAACTAAATTAGATAATAAAAATCAATAATAATAATAATAAAAGTAAAATTAAAATTAAATTTTAATTTAATTTGTTGTTAAAAAGTTTATTAAAATTGTTATATTTTAACGATTAATTATTTAGATAATTAAAAGACAAATTTTTTACATTAGGTAATAACTTAAAAGAACCTCGCAAAGTATCAAATTCTGATTTTAACGAAACTTTTAACACATGTAAGTTACTTAAATAAAACAAAAAAATTGAATTTAAACAATAGCAGTTGTTGTCTAAAAACGGTTTTAAGAGGAGAGAAACCCATCCGTTATGTGTAAAGCGATTTTCAGTTTTTTTCGTTATGTCCATGGTGGAAGTATCAAAGGTGTGCTATTGCGCATACATTTCTAACAGTCAATGAGAAATTGATTCCAGATATCACCATCTTGCCGTGCCAATTTGAATTCAGCGTTATAAATTATAATTTTACTCATTATTTCCAAAAATTTTTTTAAAAACAATTATTTTTAAAAAATGTTATTAACGTAAATGAATACATATGATTTTGTCATAAAACTTTTGTATAAAACATTTTTTAATATCTTGAATAGTTTTCGAGATATAAAGACAAAAAGTTGAAAAATTACTTTAAATACATATGTATATATATAATTCTATATTTTTCTATATTTTAATATTGTTTTTGTTTTATTTAAAAAATGTTATTTTAAATTTATTGTACATATCTCAAAAACTATTAAAACGGGAGGACAACATTTCGAATAATTTAAAAAATAAGAGTGGATTGGGCCTATTGGAGAAATCAATATAAAAAAACGCACCAAGCTATCTACCGCAAGGTGGTATGGAAGTGATAGCGTTTTGTCACAGAAAAAATAAAACAATGTTCGACCGAAATGTGTGAATGCATAATTAGGTTTATAACAAGTGTCAAGTTTTCATTTTAATAAAACTGCATACATATAGATTTCGTAAAGAAATGAATTTAAAAAGTATTAGTTGCGGCGGAAAAATGGCTTTGAAATCACTTTCTTTATATTAAAGTTATTTTACAACGTTTTGTCTTGAAAACTATTCAAAATATTAAAAAATGTTTTATACAAAAGTTTTATGACAAAATCATATGTATTCATTTACGTCAATAACATTTTTGAAAAATAATTATTTCTCAAAAAATTTTTTAAAATTTTCGAAAATAAATTCCTTTTTTTCAATTTTGATGTGAGTGAAAAGATATGATTTTACTATAAAACTTTTGTGTAAAATATTTTTTGATATTTTAAATAAATTTTGAGATATAATAAAAAAAAACTTAAGCTCGCTTTACACATAAGGGATGGTTTCACCCTTCAAAACCGTTTTTGGACAGCTCTTTTCTAAATTCATCTACAAATTAAGTAATCTACATGTGTAAAAAGGTTCGTTAAAATCAGAAATTTGACACTTCACGAGATTTCTTTGTTAGAAAATATATCACTATTTCTGTAATTTATAGACATGGAGAGAAGATCATGGATTTTTCTAAAAATGTACTTTTTCGATAATATTTATTAAATTTATTAATTTAAGGTTGAGCAATCCGAGGTTGAAGCAATCAATAATATAGACAATGATGAGTTTCACTCCCAATGGAATAAAAGTTAAAAAGATACAGATTCTAAGATCATATGCATACATTGATCTGATAACCAAGTGCAATATCGGATTTATGTTTTTTTATGTTTTTTTTCCACAGAATGAAACTAAAAAGAAACTTATTTATATTTAATAATAATATTCGAAAAATATATGGCCAATGTTACATATATATATATTTATATATATATTTTAATATTATACATATAGATATATATCAATTATGTTAAAAAAATTATATTTTTATATAAAAATTGTTACATTAACTAGCAAATTAAAGAAGTAAAAAATGTAAGAAAAAAATTCTAATAATCTTCAACGAGTAACATAAAAGCGTACAATAATATTGCAGAGTGCATTTAATAACATTTTTGTAATTCTCAAAAGAATCATTTGAGATGAACATTTCGATTTTTTTTTTCTAAATTTATAAAATATTACAAACGATTATTTTGCTCACCTCGCCAGCTCACTTTGATCGGACATGTGATTGTCTGATTTTTAATGAGATAAGCATTCAGTGACGTCAGGCTTGGGCTTTTTCGTAACGTACCCTCATCATTTTTCCACACATATGTAATCGCTGTCTGTTCATACGATACTGAAATATAAAATTGGAGATTTTATTAATTTACGTGCAAAAATATATATTTAAGATAACATTTTCCTGTTACATCATTCATATTCGAGAGCTATTTTAATTATTTTCATACTATCTTTCATAACGTTTATTTTAATTACTCACTGCTCTCGATTGCGAATGAACACAATGGGTCGTCGAAAGGGAAGATATTAAGTCTACCCTGGCAGGATAGGATAAGATGACGCCTGTAAAATGATAATAATTTATTTACAAAAAAATTTTTCAATTAATGAATAAAAACAATTAAAAATTTATTTAATTAATATTGCTCTTAAGTTATTTAAGAAACTTTATTAAAATGTTTCCTAAAGTTTAACAATTACAGAGAAAGAAATATTCGCAAGAACATTTAGCTTGCAAGTAAAATATATCAAGGTTTTAAGTACCGCATAAGATAGTTGACGGTGCCATTACGGTATATCCGCAGGGCAAAGTGAACAGGAATGAGCGGATCCTTGAAATCTCCATGCATTATGAAATACGTATCCGGCAACCAGATGTTATCGTAATGATGAATCGCATTTAAAAACTCATATTTGGATCTGTTGCTATAACGCAATCGTGGATCGTACCACTGTTGTTGCAATAAGAATTCCACCTCGTATTTCTGTAAAAGCAGATAAATGATCGTATAAGTTTACATAATCTTGGTTATATTTTAATTTATAATCTTGAGATTTAATTTATAATATATAGAGAAAGAAATTATGTTTAAGAATTAATTACAAATTTGTAAATATAAATATACTTTTAAATATATTTGTAAATATAAATAACACTGTGTAACATCATTTTGCATCACAAGTGTAAATAGTCATTTCCGACGTATTTTTGTCTGAACACGTTGCTGAATTTGTTGATAAAAATTGGTTATTATTTAATTTTGAGATAAATGACGTTAAAGAGGCCAAAAACGACAATTTTTCAAGACATTGCAGCGGTAGTTAATTTTTTTGCTTAATTTCGTTAATACCACATGAAAGCAACTTTTGGCTTTAAAATGCATTTTAGTTCATTACGATATGATTTCTGGTTTCCGAGATATAGCAATTTGAATACATATATACTCTATTCACAGCTAGTAAGAACGTGGCTCTGCGCATATGCTCATTGTCAGTATAGTAAGTGGGGAGGATACGTACTCACTATTGTCCCAGCTTAGGGCGCTACTCGAGTACCGTATTCGTAAATACGGCATGTTCAGGCTTGCGTTTATTATTAGAAAATTAAATAGATGAGATAATTTTTACATTTCAGTGTGTTTAAATTGAAATTATAATATATTTAAACTACACAGCAAGATTGTCTATAATTTACGATATAATAAATCCATCATGTGAACATGTTTTTAGAATTTATTTTTAAAATTAAGACGATGTTGGAAGGTCGAAAATACCGACACATTGCAGTTCAATAAATTTCTCCGAATTGGCTGAACGGAATTGAAAATCCTTTCACAGGGTTGAAATAGACTTGAAATTGTGGTGTTAGACCGTCGAATTTGTAGTAAAATCGGAAAAAAATTAAAAAATTACATTTTTTCGTACAGCTGATAGCTAACCGTAACCTGACATAAACATTTCATTAATGTAAAAGTTCTGTAACTTATATGTACAATATGCTTACGTCTAATGCCACAGATTACATCAACGAATAATACAAAGTCTTTTGAGCTACGGTTGAAAGCGTAGAAAAAAAGATATCCACTAAACTGCAATTTGTGGTGTTCGTACGCATAGCCAAAATATAATATGAAATGGTAAAAACAACAAAAATTGCGTCAGTAGTAAGTGCCGGATTATGCAAGAGATGGTTCCAATAAGTTATATAAGGACAATGTATGTGTTTGACTGAGAGAGAAGATATTGAAAGAAGTCATTTAGAGGTATGTACCATTGAAATTGAACAGACTGTTTTATCGACCTCGTAAAAATTTTTTCGACCTTCCAGCATCGCCTTAAGTAAAAAAAATAATAATATACATATCATAACATGAAAAATAAAATCTTACGACTATATAATTTTAAATATTTTTTATATCTAAAACATTCATAATTATTCAAATAATGTATTAAATTTCAACATATTTTTCCCGCAGTAAACTCATATTAAAAAAGACATTTAAAACTTTAAAACTGTAATCTCCATTAAAATAAATAAATTAATAATTAATTTTTATTTATCATTGTTTATCTTGCCTTGTTTGTTCTTCCTCAAAGGAGGTAACATTAGTGTCATTTCGATATTCAATTTTTCTTCCGTCGCTGTGTAAGAAGTTACGTTATAAAGTCTTTACATTGAAAAACATCGAACGATGGAGTTTTGATAACACATAATATATAATTACCTATAATCATAAATGGTATATCGTATTAGAGTACTTCTAATTACTAGAGGTACTCTATATGTGGTAAGGTTATGATGTTTTGATAGTAACATAAGCAAGCTATAAGAGCCTGAACAAGCAGTGAAGAGGGGCGCTCTTTAAATATTCTGTGGCGGGGACATATGCGAAACGAACTAATTTTTGTCTGAGTTGGATACGTTCTTGCTGTGAACAGATTATAGTATTTTTTTCTCATGTAACATTATCCGACAAAATTTAATTTTTTCTTTCATCACAAATGTAAATAATCATTTCTGACGTATTTTTGTCTGCTGAATCCGTTGGCAAAAGTTGGCTATAATGTCACAATTTTGAGAAAAATGAAATCGTTTTCAGCCTCTTTGACATATTTTTTTTTAATTGCAATGTGATAGCCAATTTTTGCTAATGGATTCATGTCCAGCAAGCAAAAATACGTCGGATATGACTAAATGTTACATGAAAAAAATATCTATATCTAAACATGTATATTGTTCAAATGGCTATATCTCGGAATCATATTGTAATGAACCATAATACATTTTAAAGTTAAAAGTTGATACTTCACGTGGCATTAACGAACTTAAGCAAAAAATTAGCTGTCGGTGCTGCAATGTCTTGAAAATTTTCAAAATCATTTTCGGTCTCTGACGTCTTTTTTCCTAAAATTGTGACGTTAGCCAACTTTTGCTAACGGATTCGTGTTTAACAAGCAAAAGTACATCGGAAATAATTATATTTGCACTCGTGATGCAAAAAAGATCAAATTTTGTTCCACATTGTAATTAATCTACATATAATAAATATTGTATATTATGTATAATATGTTATATATATATGCCAAAAAGTGTAAATATATTTCGGAAACTAAGCGTTAAAAAAAATATTTTAAACAAATGTTGTAGGGCTTAAAAGAATTTATTTAATAATTTTACTAGTTTGACCTTGGGTGGTGTCATCAAGATCAGATCAAGGTTTCATCAATTTTTTAAAATGAAACACCCTATTTTTGGTTTCAAAATCTAATAGCTGGTGCAACAACTTTCCAAAGCATCGTAATAAAATATTTTTTGTTTAAGGAAATCTCGAATTATGAAGCTTGAAAGTTACAGTACCGCAGCGCCGGCATTAGCATTATCCAAGGTCTACCGCGTGGAACTTGCCCGGTCGAATCTACATCTTGTATGTGTGTATGTGTGTGGGTATGAGCGCGCGTTTTGAAAAGCTCTTGACGCATTATTTAACCAGTAAAAGCAAGATAAGTCTATCCGGCTAATCAAGGCAAGATAGGGAACTATCTGGCTAGTAAAGGTAAGATAAATAGACGGATTTGGATTTTTAATTCACAGTAAAAGTTCGAAATGTGCATCATTTGCGGTTTGGCAATGTGTTATCCAATCATAAAAAAACAGACACAGCATTTCTGATAAAATTGGGGTCTTTTAATATTTTTTAATATTTTTTCATAAAACCAATACTTTTCAGAAAGTAATGGTTTTATGGAAAAATGTTTCAAACAAAAATTATAGGGTTTAAAAAATCTATTAGCTGGTGATATTTATTTAAGCTTTGATTGATCTTAAAAAGCGCGGTTAAGGTCAACATAAGAATTTTAAATGAAAATCTCTATTTTTTGTTACATTAGTTGACGTTGAGAGCTTTTAAAACACTTTTAAAAACGCTTTTATGATAAAATTATTTTTCATTAAGTACTTTTTGAATTATAATTATGCTTTGAAAGTTACAGGCTGCGTTCCGTAATCACGCTTTTGGCATTTACAACGTCACGGAATCATTTTATCCTGATGTTTATCAAAGGTTAACCAAAGATAAATCCCACAATATCGCTGATATTAGCATTGTCGAAGGTGTATTACATGGAGATTATCCACTCTAATATTACATCCCCCTTGTATGTGTGTGAAGATATGTCACAGCAAAGATAAGGATCCTATAGTTTGTGTTTCGTTAGGCTTGCATTATTAAAATGGGTCGGTTTGTGCTAATAATAACCAGACACAGGATTTAGTATGCCTTACTAAAGGTAGCTGCGTGAACAAACGTGGAACTTACAGTCGCCATGTTACAATCTAACTTCTTGGGTACGGTCAAGATGCTACATGCTTTGAAGCATTTTCTGATTGGTCAATCAAATGATTCAAAAGCATTTGTAGCATCACTTGACCATACCCCTTGAGGATGAGTCACACGTGATTCCTTCTTTTTGCGTGTGCTTCGTGCACATTAACCTTTAAGCGCTTTCATAGCGTAGGTTTCAAAGGTTTGTTTTACGGACCTAAGAATCTATGGACGGAGCGTAGAGTGGATTCATTGGCAAGGGGGTTGCCAAATTTGTGGTAAGGGGAATGAGAGCGCTCTCCTCTTCTTCTTCTTTTTGTTGCCTTTGGATTTTAGATTCTTAATCAAATCTCAGTACCACAATTATATTGTTGTTACTGATCTCCTATATGAGGCCGGGAGATCAGACGTGAATTTTTTTGCGATAGTCCAGCTGGTTAGTCGTACAAATTTAGGGAAATCTAAAAAATGAGACTCCCTATTCCAAAGCTCAAAATAGGGTAATTAATAAAACTAAGTTTAAAGAGAAATTTCAAGCTCTAATTGAGCTGCTTTAATAAATTTGATTATAGCATTGATGATTTTGAAATTTAAGTTCCCAATTACATATTTAATAGAAAAGGGGTCCTGCAATTTCATTTTTCGTAATGAATCAATCATGGCTTTTCTAAAGTTGTCCACGAGTGAACAACTTCAGAAAATATGGTTAATATCTTGAACAATTCCACATTTACAATTAGGGAAATCTAAAACACCACACTTAAACCTTCTATCATTTGTCTATTCCAGACCAGTAATTAATCTTGTTAATAATCCAGACTCCATTCTTTTCATGGAAAACTTTTTGATAAAATTAATGTTAAAATTTTGGAAAAATTTAATAAATCGGTTATTTTTATTGACTACTAAGGTATCCAAATAGTTAATGTCAATTAGCTTGTAAGATACATTGCAATTCATCAAAACTTCTGAAAAGAAAATTTTATTACAAATCCTGATACCATACTGAGAAGCGTAATTAGCGGCAGCGTCGGCTTCTTCGTTGCCTAGGATACCTCTGTGAGCCGGGCACCACGTAAAACGAATTGATCTGTTGTTAATTAAATAATAGCAGATTTTATTGTAGAGATCTCTTATCATCGGATTAAGGTTCCAAAAATGGGATTTTTTACTACGTATAGGTTCCGAACAAGAGTCCAAGGCTGAAAGAGTACTTAGAAAATCGGTACAAATGTTTATAAAGGTCCATCGGTGGGCCGATAGTAAATCAAGGGCTTTGCTTATGGCCTACTATTTCGGCAGTGAAGGATCCTGAAAAATTATTTAGTTTAAATTCTCCACGGATGTTGGTAGAGGGAATCATATACGCGGCTCCGCCCTGCCAGTCGGAATTTTCGCTTTCGTTACTAGACCCGTCAGTGAAAATTTGGATTTCATTGGGATCCTTTTTCTGAGAATTAATCAATTGCAAAAAGGAATATTTTCTTGAGCTAATTTACCTGATTCAAAGTCTATCTCAATCTCCAGGGAAGGGAAATTTCTTTTGGCGGGCAAATATGGATGGAATTCTCAAGTTCTCATTCTAAAGATTATTTTTAAAAGGTTGAATAATTGGCCATCTGGTAATTATGAAAGGAATGTTATTGTTAGCCATGTTTCTCCTAGCGCTCTCCTCTTCTATCCGCTTATCGTTTCTTTCTACAAGAAGACCCCATCGGCTGGGTAACAAAATTAATCGAAGATACTCGAACGGCGTTTTTAGCTTTTTGTTAATTTTGTGCCAATTTTTACGCAATGCTGACCTGTATAATTTCGGTCTGTGGTAATCGGACCGAAAAAGAAATGCGACGCGTAGATCGAACTGGAAGATATAACTGGAAGATATATATTCCGTACTTTAAGGTTAGCGAATATCTAGTCTTTCGCGAATCATCGGGTATACAGCGGAAACATCCGACGGGGTCCTATCCCAGAAAGAGACAGCACTATACTCCTTACCGCGGGTTAAACACCCGAATTGCCTTGCGCTCCATTCATAGATTCTTAGATCCATGGTTTGCTCACACAACAGTTTGTTACTCCCGTAGCATTTTTTTACTCTAAATGTCAGCGGTATTATAATTTTCAAGTCTTATAACTCAAAAAGTACTTAATGAAAAATAACTTTATCATAGTATTTTAAAAAGCTCTCGACGTTAGCTAGCTACAAGAATATGTAACAAAAAATATGGGTTTCCGTTTAAGATTTTTATTGACCTTAACTGTGCTTTTCAAAGTCAATCAAAGCTCAAATAAATATTATCAGCTAATAGATTTTCTTAAACTCTACAATTTTTATTTGAAACATTTTTCCATAAAACCAATACTTTCTGAAATAATTAATCGTTTCGGAACTGTTGTTCCTCACTGCATATACATATAATATGTTATATAAGGTATCCGGTACTCAATGGTAAAGCGCTCGTGGGTAGGGTTAAAAGCGGGCTAAACTGAATTAATAAGTTCTCTACTATTTTGTTTTCTTCTTAATTTATATTAATTTATATTAATTTATAGACTTAATTTATAAAGATCGCCGAATGCAAACGCGTGGAGAGATATAACCCCTCACGCGCGGTGTGCTGTGCGACTGGTTAAATTCCTCGCTCTCCACACGCCGCGCGCTAGACGACTGCGAGGACAGTCGTATTTCGCCGCGCGTTTACATTTGGTGGTTTTTATAAATTAATATCTCGATAACTATTGCGAAGATCGCAAAATGATAGAAGGTTTTTTTGATTCAGTTAAGCCCGCTCTACCTGCCCATGAGCGCTTTACCATTAAATACCAACCACCTTGTATACATATATAAATTTTTACATATATGTATATTAATATATGTATGTATACATATATATTATATATAAAAATGATATTTTAAGGATTTTAATAATGTATTTCTTTAATATTATAATTATGTGTTATATTATTTTTTTATATTAAATTGATAAAGGAAGATATATAATTATATTACCAGACTGGACTCATCAGGAGAAGCTAAGCTTAACAGCAATACGCTCACGTTTACAGTCAATGTTCCTGAAACAACAAATAAGTATAATTTTATCTGCTATATTCTGGATTGTTCGATCGATCATGTTGCAAAGTTGTTAAGATCAATCAATTTTTTGAAATTAATATAAGAAGTACTTATGTAAAGCTATAACAATAACAGATTTTTCAATGCCTTTCATAAACAAAAGAAAACAATAACTGTACATTAAAGCAAACAAAAAGCAATATCTTGCGATCAATTCGTGCTATGAGGGCGAGAAGTTTACTCTGTAAATTATTTTATCAATATCTTACATAAATGCTGTAAGTATTTAACAGATTTTGTATTTTTATATATAGGAGAAACTTATTTAGAATAATTTATACTTTCCAATGTATATTAAATATATTAAAAAGAAATGTCAGTATTGCAAATCATAGATCGATCGGTGTAAAATTTTTTCTTTACATGGAAATCATCCAATGTAATTTTTATACAATTATAAGTATATAAAGTCGAATCTTCTACAAAAATATATTAGATTTCTTTAAGTGCATGTTTGTTTTTATTATATATAAATCAACATAAGTTGATGCTGTTGAGGAATACGCTGAAAGCTTTCATCGAGCCATGCTGTGCACATGCTGCTATATACTTGGAAAAAAGCTTGGGGTCGTGGTTAGGACTCGGATTGGCTTACGAATTTTCCTAAAATTATTGTTTCTGATTATTGTTGATTATAATATACATCTATATCTCTTTATTACGTATATATATATATATATATACATATATATACGTTCTTGCTGTAAACAGGGTGTACATATATTTATACACTGTTATATATATATATATATATATATATATATATATATATTATTACAGCAAGAACGTATCCAGCTTTAACGAGAATTCGCCCGTCTCGCGCATGTCCTCTCCACGCTTGGAGAGTGGCCCTCTCCACTGCTCGTTGAAGCTCGTATAGCTTATTTATGTTACTACATCAAATCGATTACGTTTATAGGTATTGTTTATTATCAAAACTCTGTCGAACAGTTTAGTTCAATATTTTTCAATGTAACGATTTTTTAACATAATAATGAAAGAAAAAATGGATATCAAAGTATCACTAATGTCACTAATACTGTACTGTGAGTAGCGCCCTACGGTGGGTATGTACTCTCCCTACTGTGCTGTTCATATGCGCAGAAGCAGGTAAGTACGTTCTTGCTGTGAACGGAGTATGTATGTGTCCGAATGTCCGAATATGTATACTATTATATAAACTGCCGTCGAAAAGTTTCCGGACAGTAGCATAATTTTTACGTTTTGGAGTTTTAAATCGTTGAACTTAGTGCAGCACTGTGCTAAATCAAAGAGTAGACGATTTTATCATTTTAAGAAATACTTTAAGATACTCTGTATCGATTTTAAGTTTAATGTATCCCTATTACTGTAAACTCTTAAATCTGAGAGCATGTTTGCCAGTTTGAAAATTATAAAGTTTGATGGAACGCACAACCTTGTTAAAATTTTTCTTGGTAATGTTGTTTGCAGCTTCATAAAGTTGGACTCTTTCTCTTTAATTTGAAAAAAATGCAAGTCGCTACGATTTTTCGTCGCAAAGTTATAGCATTTTAAAGTAACCCTTATATTTTTTTCATGTACGGTCGGCATTACCCAATGTGCACCACAGGAAGATTGGCGATCAAATTTTAGATATCGTGAGTGTATGTGTGTGTTTTATATACGCACAAACGCACACAATGTGCAAAATCCGATAACTTTGCGACGAAAAATCGTAGCGACTTGCATTTTTTTTCAAATTACAGAGGAAGATTCGAGCTTTATAACGCTGCAAACGGCATCCCCGAAAAAAATTTTTGCAAGTAAACCGCATTCCGTCAAACATTGCAATTTTTAGTATAGCAAACATGTTTTCAGATTTAAGAATTTGCAGTAGTAGGGATGCATTAAACTTAAAATCAATACAGAATATTTTAAAGTAGCTCTTAAAATGATAAAATCATTTACTCTTTGATTTAGTACAGTGCACTAAGTTCAACAACTTAAAAACTCCAAACATAAAAATTTTGCTAGTGCCCGGAATTTTTCGACGGCTGTGTATATATATACATTTATTATTTACACATTTGCATATTCCTTACAGCTAAAGTTAAATTACAATTATTTATTTGCTGCTATGTATTTAAGTATGTACGAGGTGTGATCAAAAAATACGGTGAATGTTGAAATAAAAAGAAACTTATTAATAAACAAAAATATTTAAAGAAAGGCTAAAAACCGAGCAATTAAAACAATTGAGTAAAAATTAAAAAATTTTTTTACTAAAACTTTATGTAAAAAACATTAGTACGTTTTGACTACACAGTCTTCTTCAGCTAAAAACTTTTACATAAGTCACACAAATAAAAATAAATTAAAAAATAAATTAAAAAATAGCAATTATTACAAATTATAAAATAGCGAGAAGCTGCGAATTACAATAAACTTTTTTAAGAATCAACGCGAAACTGCGAATAAAATCCTCCTCAACAATTTGTATATTGCGTGTTCGAAACATTCTATCAAAAATCTGGACGTACCCATTTTCACAAAAGATTGATCCCTAAAATGATGATCCACATAAAGGAGCAAAAAAACGGAATAAATTCTATCAAAGATATAGAGATGCTTGATTGCGCCTATTTTATTGTCCTTGAAGAATTACTTTCGAATAATAATTATTGATATTTATAATCACAAACAAATAACAGGATCAGTTACTTACAATGATGTCACTCTATTTCTATCTTTTGACTTCGCGTTTTACAAACAAAGCTTTTCACATTTGACTTGCAAGTCTCGTTTGAATAAGATGCGACATCAAGCAATTCTTTGTTCTCATCTTTGTGGCAATCTCTTACATGACCTGACATAAGTTTTTTTTACTTTTATATTCTGCGTTGCTCTAGTACTGAATTTATTGTTAGCCAAGTTTTCGTTTGTTGTTCTTAGCGAATATATATCTTTGCGGACTTATGGTGATGTCGGTGATACGATGCCAGATTAATATGTTTAATTTCTTGATTAGACATGTCTGCGCCACGCAACGAGGAATTGTGAATAAAAAATCTTTTTAATTACTATGGACGTATGGACTTTTTTGGACACGTTCAGATCTTTGAGAAAATGTTTCGAACGCGTAATATACAAGTTGTTGAGGGGGATTATATTTGCAGGTTCGCGTTGGTTCTTGGAAGTTTATTGTAACACGCAGCTTCTCGCTATTTTATAATTTATGATAATTGCTATTTTTTAATTTATTCTTATTTGTTTGACTTAATGTGTAGAAGTTTTTACCTGAAGAAGACTCTGTGTAATTAAAACGTATACTAACGTTTTTCATAGAAATGTTTTAGTAAAGGAATTTTTTAATTTTTACAACCAAATTGTTTTAATTGCTCATTTCTTGGCTTTTCTTTAAATATTTTTGTTTGTTAATTACACACACTAGCGTGTTTCTTTTTAATTTTTAGAAACCTATTACATTAAAAGACAAATTTCAATTAGTCTCCTTCAATACTCTCTTTTGCTTCTAATACACTTTAACACTTATTCTTGTTACTTGCTAAAGTAATACTGGAAGTTCTTCTTTTTCATACTTAAGTGTCTTTAGTTGCGCTATTGTAGCTGCCTTGATGTCTTGAATTAATTCAAAATACAATGAATTCTGAATATTATAAAGGCTTATAGAGCATTTAAGAAACAAAGAATGTGCATAGAAAAAAACCTGAAATATAAATAAACGATTTAATTTTTCATCATGACAACGCTCAGTGTCACACATCACTTCTGATATAGCAATTTCTTGAAATAAAAACATTACGGTGTGTCCTCATTCACCGTATTTATTGGATTTACACTGTGTGATTTTTGGCTTTTCCGTAAAATCAAAATTCTACCAAAACTCTTTAAAAAGAAGAAAAAGGTTACGCCAAGTATATAAAAAAGTATCGTATGTTACATTATTCCTAAACAAAAAAATTATTTTAACCAATAAAAATTGTCCAAAAACAAATATGAGATCAAATCTTGGCAAATACAAGTTGCCAAGTATTTGATTAGATATAGAAACAAAAATATTTTTCTAATAAACCGTTTAACCATCTAAAAGTATATGCAGCAAAAGTTTAATGCCATTGTCTTTCCAAATATTTTTAGTTCCTAAAACGTTTCATAAAACATGCTTAAAATGATTAAAATAACCAATGGGATCATAGTGAAGCAAAAACTTGGCGTGCCCGGATTGCATTAATATTTAATTGATAAGATGTGTATAAAATGCGGGACTTCCGTTTCCGGAGCGATCGTGGGTAGAGCTGAGTTTGTGCGAAGATTTAGAGAAGTGTGAAGGGTGGGCAGTAAGGGTGGAGTGTGAGTGTGGAGAGTGTGGGGTGATAGAGTGGAGTGAGAGGTGTGGAGG